CCGGGCCTGAGAAGACAAGGAAAAATGACAAGAAAACTACAACGCAACGTTAGAGACAGGCAGAGCGAACGTGTCGATTCTCAACATCTCGTCTCCAAACCGCTGTGGAAAAGGCAAAGAGTCCCACCAGAAGATGTGGGTGAGATGGTTTCTGCCCATGTAGCTCCTGATGGAGGAGTGCTCTGGCAGCAAACGAGGCTGAAGGTACCCAGGGCTGTACTGACAGCAGCATCGCCAGTAGATTGAGCGCGAGGAGCAATGCTGCCCCTTTCTACTCACCACTTTGTAGACCACATGGAGAACAGTGCGTCCAGCCCTGGGTTCCCTGACACAAGAAAGAAGTGGATGAACTGGAGCAAGTTTGGTGGGAGACCAGCCAGACGGTGATGGGGCTGGAGCACCTGCACTGGGAGGAGAGGTCCACACCTTTCCAACTGTTTGGCCTGGAGCTGAGATATGGAATTGCATCTTTCCAACTGTTTGGCCTGGAGATGAGATATCGAATTTGTACTTTCCAACACCCACAAGGAGGTAATTGGGAAAACAGAGCCAGGCTGTTCACAGAGGTGCATGGTGGGAGGATGAGAGATGACAGAAACTGGAGGAAGAGAGGTTCAGGCTGGGTGTAAGAGGGAACGTTTTAGCTGTGAGGATGGTCAAAAAAAAATTAACCTCGCACATCTGCCATAAAATTCACAAGTATGTCAGTGACAGAAACTGGAGGAAGAGAGGTTCGGGCTGGGGTAAGAGGGAATGTTTTAGCTGTGAGGACAGTCAAAAAAAAATTAACCTTGCACATCTGCCATAAAATTCACAAGTATGTCAGGAGGTATGGTAAATCAAGGACTGTGAGAATGTTCTGGATTCCAGGGATTCTGTGCAGAAGCTCTCCTTGCTAGTGGCACTGCTGCTGGCTGGAGAGTAGCCTTGCCCAGAAGGCAGTGGGCAGTCTTCCTTACACCCTTCCCTGCCCCAGCATTATGGCTCTCCCAGTGCAGAAGATGGGAAAGTAAAGAGACACCAGTTATGAATTATGACAACCCAGCGTTCCGGTGTAGATAAATATTTAATTTCCCATTTCTTTTGCTTTTTTCCTTCTGAATTTGGAAAGGAGGGAGAAAAGAGAGTTGGAAACCAAAACTTAGAGGTAGATTTCTTTAATAGAATTGCCATATTTCTGCGGTCAAATGTAACCTCACCCGAAGAGGAAAAAGTCCCCTAAGGGACATTTGCCAAGAGATGGTTTGCTAATGAAAATCCCATCAGAAGTGGCTGTGGAGTATACTGGAAATGCAACACGTCACCGTCCCCTCACCAGTTATCCATAGGAAGGTATTGCTGGTTGCAGGAGCGCTGGCTGACATTAGGAAATCAGTGTGAAACTAATTGACTTTCCTCTTCGCTAATGACCTGGATGATGGGAGCGAGCGTACCCTCAGCAAGTTTAAAGATGATAAAAAACTGGGAGGAGTGGCACACCAGAGGGTTGTGCTGCCATCCAGAGGGATCTCAAGAGACTGGAGAAATGGGCAGACGGGAACCTCAACAAAGGGAAATTCAAAGTCCTGCACCTCGGGACCAATAACCTCACGCACCAGTACAGGCTGGGGCAAATCCTCTGGGAAGCAGCTTTGCGGAAAAGGACAGGGATGGCCAAGTGGACAAGTTGAAGATGAGGCAGCAGTGCGCCCTCGTGGCAAAGGCGGCCAACAGGATCTGGGCTGCATCAGGGAGAGCGTTGCCAGCAGGCTGAGGAGGGCATCCTTCCCCTCTGCTCTGCACTGACTGGAGTCCTGTCTCCAGTTCTGGGTTCCCCAGTACAAGAGAGACACGGACATACTGGAGAGAGCCCAGCAAAGGATCACAAAGCTGTTTGCTTTCACCTGGGGGAAGGCTGAGGGAGCTGGGACTGTTCAGCCAGGAGAAGAGAAGCCTCAGGGAGATCCCAGCATGTATAAATGCCAGAAGGGACAGCGTGAAAAAGTCTGAGTCAGGCTCTTCTCAGTGGTGCCCAGCGACAGGAGCAGAGGCAATGGGCACAAACTGAAACCCAGGAGGTTCCCTCTGAACACAAGGAAACCGTGTTTTCACTCTGAAGGGTGACCGAGCCCTGGAGCAGGTTGCCCAGATAGGTTGTGGAGCATCCCTCCTTGGAGATACTCAGCAGCTGTCTGGCCAGGGACCTGAGCAACTCGCTGCAGGTGACCCTGCTTGGGCAGAGGGCTTGGACTGGACAATGTCCCCAGGTCTGTTCCAACCTCAACTATTCTGTGATTCAGTGCTGGCTACTGTGCTCATTACACCTGCTGGTGGAGAGGATGAATGCATTGGAACAGAGAGAGACTAAGATTTTCTCTGAAGCTCATCTGCTTTTTCCCTCTCAGCTGTCTTTAGATGCAGAAGGGAGTTAGAGTTGATTTTAAGAGCAAGAAAAGAGGAGGCAGAGAAATTGGTCAGGTCATAGGAGGAGGTTGGCAGCCTGAAGTGGAGGGATGGCAAGGGGGGAAACAAACCACTTCACTAAGTGGGAACAAATTAAGGATGGAAGGGAGTTTTCCAAAGAGAAATCTAATCCACCATGTGACTTTTCCCACTAGTTACAGCTGCTGACAGTGACAGTAGACAGCGTGTCAGGGTGAAAAGCCCTTTCAGAGGGGCTAAGACGTTGCAAAACCTGTTGCATTTCCATTTTCTGCTAAGTGAATGTGCTAGGGAAGGACTCTTGAGTCGTAGCATGGATTCGCAGACACCTTCTCCATTGTGGAGGAACTGGTTATTGTTTTTCTCCTATGGACAAATACGGTGATGCTTCTTCACCTCAGTGCTTTACAAAGCTGACCAGGATGAGCAGCACATCAGGATTTAGGGACTAGCAAGAGAGTTCCAAGGTTGTGGGTTCACACACTGTATGTGTCCGTGTGTGAATCTAGTCATAGGGAAGACCAAAGACCCACAAGGCTTGCTGTTTGGATAGGAGCAAAGCAGGGCGTAGCTGTTCTGACGACGTCAACATCAGTGAGGATTTGAGGTGGATGACTTGAGTGGGAAGGGAAAATGTTGAAAAAAGTGAACTGAATTACAGCATGTGTCAACAAAAGCAAGAGAGACAACACAAATCTAGTGAGCATCTACCTGGTTTAGTGTACCTGATAGTTTAACACATGCTTTATTTAAGGAACCAAACGTTAATCAAGAGTTAAAGAGGATTGTGTGACCCGCCGGAGGTGTCTTTGACAACCCTCAACACAGAATCAAAAAGCCAAATTTTCAGGCTGGAATTTTGTATCTAATCTTTGAGGCATATAGGTGGAGAAATCAAGGAGGCATGCACACACAGAGTTGTGCACATATATCCAGCTCCATGAATGGACATGTTGTGCCATGCTTCATTCCTCCAGTTGTGCCATTCTTGGCCATTGCAGCAACACCTTTCTTATTCATTTGCTTCCAAGAAATAATTCTGGGAGTGCTTCCTCCCAGAGAACACCAAATGTGGGTATTCCTGCTTTAACAGCAGGAGAATAAAACACCAACACAGAATAAGACTTATATTTTAATAAGTCATTAAATAAGTTCGCTAGCAAATATAAACTCTTACATTAAAATAAAACCTTTAACTTCTAATAAAATTTGAATATCAATCTGAATGAAAATATTTAGAATGTTAGTGTAATAGCTTAATATACTGACTCCCAAATGGTTTAGCTAACTCAAAAGGACATGCACATTCACACACTTGAAAATGGAGTAAAAATCGAGGTGGAATCTAGCAACTCACAACGTCGTTCAACAGAAAAGAATATTTGTACCCAGCAGAAACTGTAGAGAATTTACGTTCCCAGACTGCAGCTCTGAGCTGAAATTTGTCTTGAGAATGTGATGCTGATGTCCCCACTCTTCAGAAAACGTCGGACCTACAGACAGAATCAAGACCTCAGAAGAATTTTGTCTCAGTTCTGCTGCATTCTTCCTCCTGAAAGGTGTCAATGCTGTTGAAGAATATAAAGTGCAGAGATCATTCAAGATTGGAGAACTGGCACGTTTTGAGTGAAACAGAGAATCTGTGGTAAAGAAAGGTAAAACTACTTCTTATAGTTGAGCAGACCATAGCGTACGGATTGCTCTGCCTTCAAGGTTTGAAATAAAATCAGGAAAGGGAGAACATAGTCAAGCAAATTGGAACATGACCTACTTATATAATATTTTTTCATTATCTTCTTAGCTTAGTTTTGTCTGTTTAGATTTATGCACATACGAGGGCTTTCGTTTTTGATGCCCGCGTCCACCTGAACAGCTACTGTAGCACCTCTGGTCAGAATACAGGGGAACAAAGTGTGAAGGTACCAACTGTCTGGGCATATAAAACTTGGATGCCGTTGAGAAAAACAATAACCAGAAATTACGTTTCAAGCAAGTCTTTCCTTCAGGTGATTTCTAGTTTCAAATGCCTGATAGGAATTGCATGGCTTTTCTCAGAAGGTGGGGAAACGCCCTGAAGTTCCTCTTTCTGCTCTGGAGCTTTACAAGAAACTTACTGGTACAAAGCCACACTGGCTCTGCCCAGAGTGTTTATGGCTTGTGATGAAGAGCCTGCCTCTGGTCCTCTTACCCATGATGGTTATGATTCACAGATGGTGGCCTAACTCTTTCTGTTTCTGAGACATTCCCTTCTGTAACCCACGCAGCTCTGCTTTTCTTCATCAACCTTCATGATTTTACAATGTCACGGTGCATCATGAAAGATACAGCGAAAAGAGAGTCATGCAGACAGGCAGAGCATCGTATTTACTACCATTGTGGAGTGAAAATAAAAGTGGAGAACACGACTGTGGATTTTGGCCACCAGACAGAAGTGTTGCATGTTGTTCTGTAGGGGATCCCGAGAGGATTCTTGTTCTGGCAGAGCATCTAAGAACATGGGACCTCAGGCCTTGCTATGTGCAGAGATGGTTCCCAGTCAGCAGTCTGGCTGATGGCCTCAGTTTCAAGCTGGATAGCTTCTAGACTGCTAGACTGACACCTAAAACAGACGAATACGTGATTTACAGAAATGTGAGAAATAGGAGCTGAAAAAGAGTTGATAGTAAATGTTCAGTTGTCTTAGGATTTGGAGAAAGAATGAGGTGGAGCTCAGGACCCTTGACTGCGTAAGGAAACAGGACTGACTGTGAGGAATGCACTTCCCTCTTGCTACAAGGAAGAACAGGCCCTGATGCCAGCATGAGGATCCTTTCAGTGCCAAGTAGTCCCTGGACTGCTGAGACTGAGACTTGGAAGAAAATAGAGAAATGCAATGCAAAGATGGAATTCTGTTCCTAGTACAAGTTAATTCTTCCAGTCCAATGTTTGGCAGCCTGTGGTGGAGCAATGCCTTGGACCCTTCAGCTCTGTGATGACAGAGATACTTGCACTTGACAGAAGCCTCCTCTCACCCCTCCCCCGGCTCCACCTTTCTTATAAATGGTGATGGACAAGAAAGCTTCATGCAGTTCAATGATTTTAGGAGCCAAATTTATCAATAAATCAGAAAAAAAGGATGAAGCTGCAAGGAAAGGTGGTGAGCTGCTGCCATGGCAGTCTCACAGAGCACAATAATGATTTTAGGAGCCAAATTTACCAATAAACCAGAAAAAAAGGATGAAACTGCAAGAAAAGGTGGTAAGCTGCTGCCATGGCAGTCTCACAGAGCACAAAGAAGAGGGAGAAGTAGATCCCAGGACAAGACGGGAGAAAGATGTTTTGATTTGCTGCTGGATGGACTAAGTTGTTGCAGGAACTAAATTGTCCAAGGAAGCTTGGCTTAAGTCCAGCATGAAACATAACTTTCTATCAGCAGCTTGAGTGTAGGCAAAGGGATGGTTACAAAGAGACTTGAGGGACAGTAGAGCCGAATGAAGGATAATAACTTACTCTGGTTGGTAGGTGAGGTATTTCTGTTCTTCTTCAATATCACAAAACCCAGAAGAAACACGATCAGTATAATTACAACTATAAGTGGGCCAAGGAAATTTATCTTCTCTTGCTCCATTTGTTCCCCCGGTATCTCTGAATAAGAAAACAGAGGAGATGATACACAGCAAAGATGTAATTTGGTGACAATTAGCTTAAACACTCTATCCCAAAGTTATGTGAATTACAAGTTTAGGGAAAGGCCCTCAGCATTCTTTGTTTTTACAGTGCTTTGATAGTGTCAATAAATCACTACCCACATTGTTTTATTTCCATTTCCAATAACTAGTGCAACTACCAAGTCTAAACAGCCACTTCAACAGCAGTAAGGCAAAGTTTTCCCAAATTTGGATAATGTGTGAGGGATCAGCAGCTTGATTAATACAAGAGCCTACGGGGCTGCTACAGTGCTACTGCTGCTCTGTGCTACTGGGCAAGTTTGAAGCACCTGGGATATGTTACCACTTGGTATCTGTTGGAAACGGTGGTCAAAGCCTAATGAAATGTCATAAGGGATGTGAAAGTAGCTGGGAATGCAAAGGGGTTTCCCTCTATTTCTGGTTATTGTGCTTTTGAGGCTTTGGTTGCTACAGTTAGCAACTGACAGAGCTGCAGTGATCGCCAAACAAAGCTTTTGTTCATGTGGAGCTCCTAGTTTCTTACTCACCATCACTGCTTAGCAGGTGGCTACTTTCATAAAGCCAGGGAGGAGAGAAGAAGGATTGAACAGGGAAGAGGAGGATGCAGCACTATAGCTAACACAGCTGACGCAGCCATGTCAACACTCTTGAGCAACGTGTAGAGTTGTGCAAACCTCAGACTTCTGTATTACATCTTAATATTATTCAAAAATCCTGGAATGTAAGGACATCAGGGGCACTTTGCCATATCTAACGTTGATGACTTGACCTTTTAGTTAAATCTACATGAAGAAAACTGCGCTGTGGAACTTTTTTCAGAATGAGTGACGAGCTGCTTTTACATCTGCAGTAGTAAGGTGCGTGCCTGCACTACCCTGGTAGGCTTTCCTGCAAGGCTACCATTCCCTCTTGGCTGTTCCTGTCAGCTGAAGCACAGCTCTCCATCTTCAACATTGTCTAAAGGAGATGTGCAAGCCAAACGAACTTACGACCAAAGTGAGAATTGTCTTTATTTTGATGTGCTTGTGCCATAGCTTACGAATAAAAATATGCCAAAGGACATTTTCCAGTCCCAGGAGAGAAATAAAATACAGCTTTAGTTTAAAGAAAGGATCAGTCATGTGGAACCCTGAGATAATCCAGCAGTAAAATCTTATTGGAACTCAGGTCTCCAGCTTCTTGCAAGAGGTGTCTAAAAAAAGACACAATCTCAGAGAACAAAAAAATCCCCAAATAGTCATTTTGGAATGCACACTTCACTCTGCCAAACGTTACGAAAACCACCAGGAATGCTTGTAAGACTAGTCAAAGTTTCATGGTCCTTACACTTAAACTCAGCACAGTCAATTTGGCAGTTTGTGAGCCAAGTCTGGTCCGAGGGACCCCTCTGCTTAGCCTTCTGCCTCTCTCTAGGCAATGATTAACAGTAGCAGCTCAAGCACCTAAACATCAGAAAAAAAATTTGCTGTCAGGGTGGTCAAACACCGGAACAGTGTTTGCTGAGAGAGGTTGTGGAGTCTCTATCCTGGGAGATATTTAAAACTCAACAGGATAAGGCCCTGTGCTACCTATTGACTCTACTTGGAGCAGAGTGGTTGAACTAGATGATCTCCAGATGCCTCTTCCAACCTCAACAGTTCCATGATTCTGTGAAGTGGCAACCTCTCTTAACAGCTGTTACCTCCAAAGACTGGTTGCCACCTAATGCAGACATCCAGGTTGCTTTGTTGCTACTGCAGCATCATCTAGGGAGGGTTGAACAGGGCAGTGTTCTGGATTGTATAGCAATAGCCTTCCTTCTCTGTGCCCTCTCCTTGCTGTAATAGGACTTCCCATACGGAAATGAGAGGGAATTTAGTGGCCGTGGCTGTTGGTGAACAGGATGGAGAACATACAACCCTTGTAACCAACTCCTATTGCTCCTTAGGGTTTTTTCCCCTGCCTTGACTACACCACTATCTGTGATCAGCTCTACTGCAATGTGCCCTGCTCCTACCCGTGCAAAAATCAGAATGGGCAAATGGAGACTCACCTATGCCCAGTGGCACTGAGACAAGGCTCCCCAGCTGCTCTCCAAGGTGGAGCAAGCAGCTGATGTTAGTGAGGGTGTTTGTAGGAACTGTTATGTTCAGCTTGGTAGTAACACTGTACAGCTTTGTTACAGCATCCTGTGAGATGTCCATGTGATGCGTGAGCGTGTGTGTTGTGTTCTCATGTGAGATTAGCCAAGTCATCTGCTTGGGCTCTGGATAACCTCCGCTGGAAGAACAGGAAAGATTCAAGTATTCGTTGGGCTTTAGTTCCCCAGCGTGCAGCCATGCTATCTCGGGTTGGCTATAGTTGGCTGAAACAGACCAAAGAGAAAGCATCATGAGTCAGACATACCACACCTCGTGACAGATCCTGCCAATTAGATCAGATTTTTCAGGCAGGAGCAAGTCTAAACAATTGTCTCAGGAAAACAATGGGAGTCCCAAGAAAGGTTTGTTAGGTTTTTGGGGTACACGTGGACTTGCTGCTCCTTGTCCTCAGAGTGGGACGTAAGTCTGATCAGCCAGACAACGGGCCTCTGTCTCTCCCACCTCCTCTAGATCCATTGACACCTCAGAACATTCAAATCTGGCCTGCCTGCAGGTCAGTGCCCAAGCACAAAGTGGGAATGGGTCACAGTGCTGCCTACTCTTGACCTCCTGCTTAGGTAAGGGGAAAACCACGAACTTCTTACTGTGAAATGTAGAGAAAGAAATCATCTGAGGCACTTCAGATGGGGTAAGTTGGAGGTCCAGTGCTGTCATAGGCAGAAATATCCTTGGTGACTGTCAGTTTTATGAGTAATATTTTGCAGCATGTAAAGTAATTCGCTCCTCTTAACTTGACAGTCAGCCTCTCTTAGCTGGGCTTTTTATGTGGAAGTGACTACAGTACAAATTTTTTTACTTTGTGTTGTTGCATACTCGTCCCAGTGAATGAAAAACATACCTATTACTGCAAAGTTGAGTTTCCCAGGCAAGAAACAGTGAAACAGAATTGGAAGAATTATCTAAACATAAAATATGAATGATAAATGGAAGCTTTTAACCAATACTCTCTGTTAAATAATCTCCCAAATATTCTCAACCAGGATTTGTTTGGTTCAAAGGTCATGCAGGAAATAGACTATGATGGAGAAGGAGAGAATGTAGTCATAATCCTGACTGCACATTGGCATACAGCGAGTTAAAAAAACCCCAAAACACCACAACAAAACCCAAGAAACGGACTGAAGACTTCATTGAAAACGCTTCATTATTTTAGTGCCAATAGGACTAAAGACAGTATGGAGAAATACTGGAGAAGAGGAAAAGGATTCATAGAATCATAGAATCATAGAATGGTTAGGGCTGGAAGGGACCTTCAAAGGTCATCTAGTCCAACCCCCCTGCAAGGAACAGGGATATCTCCAACTAGATCAGGTTGCTCAGGGCCTCGTCCAACCCGGCCTTGAACGTCTCCAGGGATGGAGCATCCACCACCTTCTTAGAAAAATATGAGCCTGAGAGGGTCTGAGTCTTCCGTGCACACATTCAGTGCGTTGGATCCAGGCTCTCATCCTCGCCCCAGTGAATTCCTGATACGGATGGATAAAGAAATGTGATGTTGCTTTTGTTTGCTGTGTGCCAACACACAGAGAGAAGGATTTAGCTGAGGCACTTCAATCCCCAAGAGAGTCCACGGCTGTGAATTCGAAATGGAAAAAGCCCCACCTTTTTTACACCCCAAAATTTAGTTAAGTTGTCCCTCAGGAGCACTCAGGCTTCCTCTTTCTCCTCAAGGTCTGACGTGCTTAGCTCATCTTCAGCTTCTGGTCTCTCCTTGGCATATTATAGGGAGGGCAGGAGTGTAATCCATGGCTGTGACACTTGCCACATCATCCAAGTGATTTAAGAGTTTCAATCTTATTGACAGTAAACAAGTGGAAATAGTGGAATATACCCTGATCGAAGCACTTCTGGTTTTATGGCTTCTGGAACCTCAGTTTCCTGAAAAGTGCTATGGGTTGCGTGCAGGGTGTGGGCTACATATATGTGAGCTTTGGACTGTGAACAGAAAAGCATGTTTCAGGATGTCTTTTGTATTTAAAGATAACATGTCTTCCAAAAAGGTCTATGGGCTTAGATTTAAATACCTCAAGAGAAAGCAGGTCCATCAAGCCCTTAATATTTTTCTCAATGGCTTAATCATAGAATCATGGAATGTTTTGGGTTGGAAGGGACCTCAAAGATCATCCAGTTCCAACCCCCCTGCCACGGGCAGGGACACCCTCCACTACACCAGGTTGCCCAAAGCCTCATCCAACCTGGCCTGGAACACTGCCAGGGATGGGGCAGCCACAACTTCTCTGGGCAACCTGTGCCAGTGCCTCACCACCCTCAGAGGGAAGAATTTCTTCCTTAGATCCAATCGAAATCTCCCCTCTTCCAGTTTAAAGCCATTGCCCCGTGTCCTGTCACTACACCCCCTTGTCAAAAGTCCCTCTCCAGCTTTCCTGTAGGCCCCCTTTAATCACCCTGCCTGGTTTTGTTCTGTTTTCTAACGTGACAATGTGCCTTACTTCTCACTTGCTTCCAGCCACTGACTCTTTTTATAGCCTCACTGAATTAGGTTGTTTTTTTTTTTTTTCCCACTATCCAGTATTTTATGTGTATTTCAGGTTCTCACACTCTGAAAACAAGACTCTCACTCTTCTAGGTTACAAGATAATCAGATTGACCTTTTAATGTCTCCGTTTGGACTGTATTTTTTCCAGCCTTCAGATAACTCTACTAGAGCTTTTCTTCACACTTTTAAGTTTTTCAACATCCCCTTTAAAACGAGGACACGAACTCTTCAGTCTCTATTCTGACATCACTTTCACTCCCAACACTTTGAATATCACTTATTTTGAAGTAGTTTTCCCAGTCTCACCCATTTGCCTTATTGATCCATCCAAAGGAAGCGTTGGGGCCATGCTACAGGTGCGGAATTTCCAGTTAAGCTGCTTGTCACCACAGTCCCTGCTTTGCCTGTTTGAAGAGCCAAAGCTTTCCATCGTGAAGCCCCCTCTTTCTGGAGAATTCTGTGTGTTCATTGTTCTTATATAGATCCTCCTGGCTGTACACAATATTTATAATACCCATATTATAAGGTACTTTAGTATTTCTAGGTGGGCTTGGTCACCAAGTGGTCTAGACAGCTTTGTGTGGCTGCCCTGTCATTTTTGTACAGCATTTGGTCTTAATTTTAAGTGTGCCAAAAATACTACAAAATATCCACACCACAAAAATCCCTCCTTGTGTGATACGAGAGTCTAATTAAGAAACAGTAGGTAAGCACAGGTACATTTCAACATTTGCATTTTTCTTCTCGTTATTTTAAAGGTTATTGTTTCAAATCTGGTTTTATTCTGCTCCTTCCTTCGGGAGCTTATCGGACAGAAAGTCGTTTGGAAGGAACACGGCAGCAAATAGCTTGAAACAGTCTTGCTAAGTTAAACCTTAAAAAGTCTGGGAGAGTTTTAGTGCCCGGGTATAAGACTTCAGTAACACGTTGCTGAGATGTTGGCTAAGCTGATAACGGATTTAACTGCTTGAATTAACTGTTCAGTTGATGCTAAGCATCTCTTAATTGGAGGCTTTGACACCGCTCTGAGTTCTAAAACTTTGCTGAAAATCTTGTCGAGTATATCCGAGGAGAATCAAAATTAACAATCTAGGTTTTCCTTCTGTGAATTGAGGGAACCCTTGCTGGTAGGACAGAGCTGAGCAAGCTCAGATGTCCTGGTACCCTGCTTCTGCCTGCTGTTCCCTTCTGAAGCCATGTGCTGGAGCCTGGAAACACCAGAGGAATTTAGAAGCTGTTGTTATTAATGGCTGGCACTCTCATAGTGGAGGAGAGAACCCAGGCATATGGACAGAAGTTACTAAAAGAACACTTTAAAATAGAAAAACATCAGGAAAATATATTAGGAATTAATAAAAATATTAGGAAACATTAAAAAAAGATTGCTTCCTCACTTCCATTTCCCTGTTAAAAGATTTGCTGCTTTTTCCTCCGGTAACATGCAAGAAATCAGGTTCAAATCTCATCACCGCATGCATTTTTTTCCTCAGAGATATTTTCAGTCTTTCTTCAACTGAACATATGAATTTCTACTCCTCCACACATGAGCTGCTCTTTTATTTTCCCTGTGATTTCTACGATCACAAAATAGCTGGGTGTTTGCAGAAATCTTGTCATGTTTCAATTGTAATTTACCACCAACGATGATAACTAGTGCTACTTTTAATAGAAGATAGTGCATCAGGTGCAAATGAAGAAGTGTATTTTCCAGAACACTAAAAGCCACAAAAACTGGTGGGAGGCAAGAGGAGGAAGGCAGGATGGTTTTCACTATAAGGTATTACAGGATGGGAATCAGGAGTGATGCAATATTGAGCAAATTATTGTTTCATTTTCTACCTCTCCTGATTGCTTCCACGTGAGTGTTTTTATACTTTATGAAAATATTAGTATTTTATATATATATATACTATAAAAATATAGTATTTTATGTTTCTTTGGGAGCGGAGGATTTTCTATGGAGAACGTTCTTAGCCATATTTGGAAATTTTGCTCCCGTGCAGCTACATCTTCAGTGGCTTGGGGGTAGGACCACGTATTTCTGGACTGAACAAAGTGACAGAGAACCCCCCAAAAAACCCCAGACCAGATGACAGAAGAGATGACTTACCAATGATGTGCAGTAAGCACTCGGATGTGTGTATGACCTTCGGCGATCCTTTATCTCTCTGCTGGATAATACATTTATACTGTCCCTCGTCCACAATTCCTGCGTTTAACAATTGCAAGGTCCACCTGTCCATGTCCATCTTGGTGCGGTTTACGTACTTAGGACTGAGGTTATCATGTTTTTCTTGGCCGTAATTTACTTCGTGCACCACTTCGACCGCACCTTTTTGCCAAAAAACTCTTAAATCCTTGACGTCAGTTTTCTGAGAGTTTGGAAAATAGCAAGATAAGTATGCAGTGTGGTTGAGAAATGACTTCACCTGATGCACACTGGCAGCAATACCTTAGACAGAGGAGAGAAGAAATCAAAATTTCCATCAGCTACAAAAGAACATGGAGTATTTGCACTCACAGAGGCAACACTTAACGACAGGAGCAATAAAACCACCAGGATTTAGACACAAATTCTCCCACTAGGTGTGACGGGACACATAGTTCTTCAAACTGAATCACTTAGTCTTGTGGAGTTCAGGTCATAAAACTGTTTCTGATTTTTCTTCCTATATTTTACTTTCCAAGGAAGGCCTACCACACAGAGGTGGTGAACATCTGTATTTCAGAAGACTGGTCTGCAGGCAAAAGGTCCAAACCGTTCTCGTACGTAGCATGCAGAGCGTAATGAGATTCTGCCACAAGGGAGATAGTTGCACGATTTCTTTTTATAAAGTTGGGTTCGTTCTCCTAATGAAATAACACAGCATTGCAGTTTTGAAGAAAATGTGTAGTGCACGTTGTGTGGTAAATGTTGGTGTCTAGGGAAGGTACGACCAGAAGGTCAGAAACAGGAGAACGCTTTCAGTCGCATCGAAGAATTAATCTAAAGTTTAATGACAAATTAAATGTCAGATTTAACCGTTCTGCGATTAATCTGGAGTTTAATGACAGATTAAATGTCAGATTTAACTGTTCTGTTGCTAACAGAAATAGTCAATAAACACAACTATGCCTTCGTGCCAAGAAAACATGAACTGTAGCACAAGGGGTGGTTTCTCTCCTGCTTTCACCAGTGTGTGTGTCCGTTACGAGGAGCGGCGATGGGCCGGGAGGACCGTGTTGGAATCAGAAATAGTCCTCTGTCCCAGAAGATACAAACACCTCTGCTGCGTTCAGAAGGAGAAGATTTACAGTCTCTCTCCTGGTGCAAAGTTTCCA